AGTGAGGGTGGTGGGACAGACAGAGAGAAACTGGTCCCTAACGACACGGAGGGACTCAGGGAGACGGGTGACAAGAAAGTAGAGAGTGATGTACATGGGAGGAGGGTTGGCGGCGCGGAACTCAGCAGGAAGGGCAGCGCGGTAGCGAGCGTCACTAGCGCGGAGGTGGGTAATGAGGTCAGCGACAGTGGGAAAGGCAGCGAGGTCAGGGAAGAGAAAAGGTAGCATGAGGCGGCTCAGCGTAGCGGAGGAAGGGGAGGAGTAGCGTGCAACTACAGCGTCGTACAAGGCCTGAGCGGTCTTGCACTGACTAAAGTGGGCACGCTCGGAGGAAGGGAGGTGGCGACGCACAGCAAGACGTGCAGCAGCATCGCGGGTCGCCCACTTGGAGCGAACGGCGGAATCAGCATCAGGAGGAGGGGCAGGGACAGCGCCAGAGACAAAGTCAAAGAGAGAGACCTCATCGACCGCATCACACAGTAAGTACAGCTGCAGGTCCTCAATCCAGACTGCAAAGTCAATGGCTCTACCCTCAGCGTCAAAAGCTAGGACATTGGGGGTGGCCATGACAGCAGCTGACAGTCTCACCGGGCAGGAAGAGTCGGGTAGGTCAGCGGCGCAGGTACACAGCCCAGGAGCAGCAGTAGCCCGACAGGAGCAGGAGAGCAGCTCCTCTGGCGGCTCGGGCAGCTCGGGCGGCTCGGGCGGCTCGGGCGGCTCGGGCGGCGCGGGCGGCTCGGGCGGCTAGGGCGGCTCGGGCGGCTCGGGTGGCTAGGGCGGCGCGGGCGGCGGCACGGGCGGCTGGGGCAGCTCGGTGGCGGCTCACGGGCGGCTGGGACGGCGCGCGGGGAGCTCACGGGCGGCTGGGCGGGCGGCCAGGGGAGCTCACGGGCGGCGGCGGCGTCGGCGGCGGCTCACGGGCGACGGCGGCTCACGGGCGGCGGCGGCGGCGTCGGCGGCTCACGGGCGGCGGCGGCGGCGTCGGCGGCTCACGGGCGACGGCAGCAGCAGCGGCGTCGGCGGCTCACGGGCGGCGGCGGCGGCGTCGGCGGCTCACGGGCGACGGCAGCGGCAGCGGCGTCGGCGGCTCACGGGCGGCGGCGGCGGCGTCGGCGGCTCACGGGCGACGGCAGCGGCGTCGGCTGCTCACGGGCGGCGTCGGCAGCTCACGGGCGGGCTGAAGGCCCACGGGTGGGCGGTTCGCGGGCAGCGCCGGCTCACGGGCGGGCGGCGTGACGGGCAGGCGGCGGGACGGGCGGCGGCGTCACGGGGGGGGGGGGGCGACGGGACGGGCGGCGGCGTCACGGGCGGCGGCGTCACGGGCGGCGGTTCACGGGCGGCTGCGTCACGGGCGGCGCTCACGGGCGGCGCTAAAGGGTGGCGACGGGCGGCGGCTCACGGGCGGCGCTACGGGCGGTGGCTCACGGGGGGCGCTACGGGCGGCCGCACGGGCGGCGCTACGGGCGGCGGCTCACGGGGGGCGCTACGGTCGGCCGCACGGGTGGCGCTAACGGGCGGCCGCACGGGCGGCGCTACGGGCTGCGCAAAGGGCGGCGCGAACGGGCAGCCGCACGGGCGGCGCTAACGGGCGGCGCTAACGGGCGGCGCGAACGGGCGGCTCGAAAGGGCGGGCGCTAGGGCGGGCGCTAGGGCGGGCACTAGGGCGGGCGCCAGGGCAGAAAAAAACAAGTTCTAGGTGGTGGGCCCGAAGCACAGTTCCCACAGGGGAACCTGCTCTGATTCCATGTGAAGAAGTGAACGAGAGAAGTGTGTGAACTATGAACGAAGTGAGTACAAATAGGAAACCCTAGCTGGGTTGTACCCCCTATGGGATACCCCACTATAGCCTACACAAATAAGTAAGCTATGATGTTCTGACACGACGGGCCGAGGCGGCGCGAGGCCGCAGGTAAGAACGGCGCGAAGCCGCCGGTGAGGGCGGCGCGAAGCCGCGGGAAGGGCGGCGCGAAGCCGCGGGAAGGGCGGCGACGGGCCGGGTGGGCGAACCCGCAGGTAAGAGCGGCGCGCCGCAGGCTAGGGCGGCTCGACGCGACCGTAAGGGCGGCGCGACGGGCCGCTAGGTGCGACACGACGGGCCGCTAAAAAGAAAAGGCAGGCGCAACTCGAGGCGCGCTTCGGTGGGCCCAAGAAGCAGTCCCTAGGAGGGGACCTGCTCTGATACCATGTGAAAGAATGAGGATGGATGACTAAGGAATGGAAGTGATACAAATAGGAAACCCTAATTGGGTTGTACCCCCTATGGGATACCCCACTATAGCCTACACAAATGGATAAGCTATATAGTATTTTGACACAGTCAACACAAACGAAGCAGAACGGATAGGGCCAAATTTCATACCCGATCCAGAAGCAAGAGACGAAGCAGCTTATCCCGAGGATCCAACACTCCCCCGATACTCACAGACTGGACTGCAAATCCTCGGCCTCGTCACCCCAGTCCACGGCAACGCACTTCCTAAGGAGCCTGCGACGGTTCAGCAGGCTCTGGGGGGGGAACACAGGGAGAAATGGCGCGAAGCCATGGACAGAGAGTTAAAGGCACTGGAGGAACGCAACACTTGGAAGGTCGTTCCCGCAAGCGTGGCAAGGAACAAGACCATTCTCACCGGGAAATGGGTCTTCCGCATCAAAACGAAAGCAGACGGCACAATCGAGAAGTTCAAAGCACGCTGGGTCGTGCGTGGATTCGACCAAGAGCAAGGACGAGACTTCACCGAGACATTCGCCCCAGTTAGTCGACATACCTCTCTTCGAATTCTTCTCGCCGTTGCCGCCATGAAGAAGAAGAAACTGCGACAAATCGATGTCGCCAACGCATTTCTCTACGCACCCGTCGACGCCGAAATCTTCGTCGAACTCCCACACGGTACCCACGGAAACCCCAATCAGGTCTGCCAGCTACTGAAATCGCTCTACGGAATCAAACAAGCCCCGCGGCTGTGGCAACAGCACCTACACACCCGACTCACTCGCATCGGATTCCGCCAACTGCCGCACGACCAAGGAATGTATCGATTCACTAAAGACGCCGATTACATCCTACTGATCGTCTACGTCGACGACCTACTCTACATCGGCTCCACCGACGACATCACCACCTGGTTCGAAGGGGAGCTGCAGAAGGACCTCACGCTCACGGTTTCTTCTACCGTCACCCAGTACCTCGGGCTCAACATCCGCGAAGAAGAAAATGCTATCTACTTAAGCGCCGAGAAATACGCCGACACTATCGCTAAGCGCTTCTCGCTCACACCTACCGCTATCACCACGCCATACCGCTACACGGCAGGAAGTAACAAAGGAAATTCCGCTCCACTCAAAGCTGCCGGAATATGAGACTACCAGAGGAAACTGGGCTGCCTCCTCTTCGCAGCCGTCACCTGCCGCCCGGATCTATCCTACTCCGCAAGCCAACTCGCTACCTACCTCAAGAAACCCGAAGCAGAGCACCTGGCGGAGCTCGATCGCGCACTACACTACTTCGTGAGCACTCCGACGATCGGCCTGACTTACTACAAAAACGAAACTACGACCACGAAACTAATCGGCTACGTCGATGCCGATCATGCCGGCGATTCCGACAATAGGCGCTCTCGCACTGGCTACGTCTATCGTCTCGAGCCTATCGGACCTATCTCCTGGCAGTCGAGCAAGCAGGAACTAATCGCTCTCTCTTCAGCTGAAGCAGAATATATCGCCCTCTGCTCAGCCACCAAGGAAGGACTCTACCTTCGCGAGCTGCTGGAAGAAGCAAAGTTAGCCGAGTTACCCAACTTCACCCTATTCTGCGACAACCAATCTGCAATTCGCATCGCCAACAAAAGCGGATTCGCGAACAGAACGAAGCATTTCGCTCTGCGATACTTCTTCGTGAAAGACGAGATCGAGAAAGGGAAACTCGAATTATCCTACTGTCCCACGTCCGAGATGGCAGCCGATTACTTGACCAAGAAACTCGGAAAACAGAAGTTCGAGTACTGCATGCTGCTGACTGGACAAGGCCACGTCACCATTAGCGACACTCCAGAAGCGAAGGGGAGTGTTGGGAACAATAAGTCTTAAAGCGCCTCTGTCGTGTAGAAACTCAGGACACAAGCGAAGCAGTCCAAATCGAAGCATCGCGAGTCAACCCTCGGAGGTTAGGGTAACCGCCTGGAGGTTACGCGAAGGTCAAAAGTCAGCGACCTTTGACTTGACAAAATACAGCGCGACAGCAAGGACACACAACTGACTCGACATTGAGCAGTTGCCCGAGTCGCACTGTATCGAATTGCAACAGCAAAACAGTTTAATTATATCTATTCGTATTCCTTGTACTCTTATATAAAGCCTTGTATTTGCTTGTTTTAATCAACTTACTTTGCCCTCACATACTAGCGCAAGGTGGTTCAAGGACTTTATTCAAACGCTTCCGCTATTACAATCCTACTCAGACTTTAACTCTACAAAGATCCTAAGGCATCTCAGCCCAACACCTATCACTGATGCAACCCAATCATGTGAAAGTACTACTGGTTTTAGAGCAGAAAACTGTACCATTGTACCTCTTATATTCAAATGGTTGCCGTAGATTACTTCGGCAAAAGCCCTGCTTTAAAGTCTTGATTCAAATAATAAAAGGGTACACACCACCTCCAGCCAGTCCACCCCTCAACACTTGAACCCAACCCACCTGTCCTACAGACAAATCCAGCAACCCTAACAGAAACACCCAGACAATGAACAGGCCCGAATGGCCTTGACTTATCTGTTCGCAGACAGAATTAAGCCCTTGTAGATTCACATAAATCAGACATCATAAGTGCTACCGGATTTTCTCCTGGGGCGATCCGCTGCTGCTTGGCTCATCTTGCTTGAGGGGAGAGTCTGAAGCAGCAGGAACAGCTGCAGAATCAGCAGCAGCCGCAGCAGGAGCAGTAGTATCAGCAACAACAGCAGCAGCAGCAGTCACTCCGGCTTCAGAAGAAGCGGCGGAGGCTTCAGAGGAAGAGGGGGAGGAAAGGGATGACGAGGGGGATGGGGAGGATGTAACAGCAGAAGATGACAAAAGAGGTGAGGCCAAGGCTTGCAGGGACGAAGCCAGCCCTCCCTCCGGCTTCTCCCCCGCCTCCCCATCTCTCCTCCCATCCGCTTCCCTCAGGCTTGACACCAGGCGGGAGATTCCCGGAAGCTTCTCCTGCAGCAGCAGCAGCTTCGCCCGCTCGTCTCTCCAAATTCTCGACGACTGCCCGCCGACATTCTCCCCTCGCCCAAACCCGAGCCCAAACGCAAACCCACCCATCCCCATCCCCATGCCGCCACCCCCTGAACCTCCTCCCACTCCCCCGTGCATCCCCATGCCTCCTCCTCCTGCTGAATCCTCTTCCGAGGCTTCGAAGGTCTCAGTGGCCGCTGCAGCAGCCATGGCCTGGACTTTCTCCTTCTCAGATCCCGAGGCGGTAGCCATCTGTAGCTTGAGGTTCTCATAACGGACCATCACCTCTTGCCGGCTGTGGTTGGTGGGGAGGGGGGAGAGAGGAGCAGGTTGGGAAGGGGAAGAGAGGGGGAGGAGCAAGGAGAGGAATAAGCCTAAGAAAGGAGGAAGACGGGGGTGATGATGAGAGTAGATCCCGAAACTGTGGCCATCTGTAGCTTGAGGTACATGTTGCGGACCATCACCTCTTGCCGGCTGCAGTAGGGGAGGGAGTGATTGAGAACAAGAGTTATGATTGAGTCAGGGCGAGAGTTCGTACTGGGATGTGAAGGTGTTCATTCAAGGTTACATCAGGATCGACATGAGTCTAGATGAGAATGTTCCGCGAGGAGAAGGCGGAGGGGAAGAAGCCGGGGAAGTAGCGCTGCAGGAAGGCAAAGGCTACCACATGGCCCATGCGGCTTACCGGTGTTATTTGAGACAACTTATGAGTGACCCATGGAGAGAACACACTGGGAATTGGGAGGTGAAGTGGCTGAGTCAAGATAAACATGAGTCTACACGGGAACATACCGCGAGGAGAAGGCGGAGGGGAAGAAACCGGGGAAGTAGCGCTGCAGGAAGCCAAAGACTGCCACGTGGCCCACCGGGGTGATGGGCGCGATGAGGATGATGGCGAAGGGGATCACGACCAACAGATCTGTGGCCGTGCGTCGCAGGGTTTGCACCTGGTGGGCGATAGGGGACAGGGGCGATGGCATGGGAGGGGTGATGGGCGCGATGAGGATGATGGCGAAGGGGATCACGACGAGGAGGTCAGTGGCCGTCGGCGCAGGGTTTGCACCTGGTGGGGGGAAGGAGCATACGGGAAAGGGAAGGAGAAGCGGGGGGGGGGGGGGAAATGGCATGGTGATGGGTGCGATGAGGTTGATGGCGAAGGGGATCACCACCAGCAGGTTGATGGCCGTGTGGCGGAGGGTTTGCACCTGGTGGGGGGATGGGGCGTATGGGTGGGTGGAAACGAAGAGGGATGGTGATTGGGGAAATGAGGATGATGGGCGAAGGGGATCACCACCAGCAGGCGCACTCCTCGCCAGAAGAAGGATGCGCCCTCGCCCACCTTGCCCTTGGCCTCTTCTACTGCCATCTGCATCCCATATCTACACCTCTCAACCCCTCTGAAATTGCCCCTGGCCTCACCTCTCTGGCTTTGAGCGTGGTGCCGGTAGCAGCGACCCAGAAGAGCCGAGTAGAGTAGGCCACATCGCCAACCAGCAGCCTGACGCCCCGCCAGAAGAAGGGCGCGCCCTCGCCCACCTTGCCCTTGGCCTCCTTTACTATCAACAGCAACCCCCTCAGCCCCTAAGAGGGAGGTAAGCGCAGCCCTGGCCTCACCTCTCTGGCTTTGAGCGTGGTGCCGGTAGCAGCGACCCAGAAGAGTCGCGCCGAATACGCCACATCGCCAGCCAACAGCCTGACGCCCCGCCAGAAGAAGGACGCCCCCTCGCCCACCTTGCCTTTGGCCTCCTCCATTGTCATCTGTGCTCGCTGCTGCAGCGGCACTGATGGCTCCTCCATTATACCCAGACGGAACTTGAGGTCTGGAGGTGGGATGGGGGAGAGAGGAGAGACGGAGAGGGGGGGATGGAGGGAGGGAGATGGGGCGAGGGAGGAGGTAAAGAGCAGAAAAGGGAGTGCTGTGTGGGACGTGTTGGCCCCCTCGCCCACCTTGCCTTTGGCCTCCTCCATTGTCATCTGTGCTCGCTGCTGCAGCGGCACTGATGGCTCCTCCATTATACCCAGACGGAACTTGAGGTCTGGAGGTGGGATGGGGGAGAGAGGAGAGACGGAGAGGGGGGGATAGAGGGAGGGAGATGGGGCGAGGGAGGAGGTAAAGAGCAGAAAAGGGAGTGCTGTGTGGGACGTGTTGGCCCCCTCGCCCACCTTGCCTTTGGCCTCCTCCATTGTCATCTGTGCGCGCTGCTACAGCGGCACCGATGGCTCCTCCATTATTCCCAGACGGAACTTCAAGTCTGACGGGCGATAGGGGTGTGGCAAGGGATGGAGGAGGGAGTGATGGGAGAGAAGGGGACGGGATGGAAGGGGAGGTGGGAAAGAGGAAAGTGTGTTGGTTTGATGAACTGATAAGTGGAGTGCGAGTTGGCCCCCTCGCCCACCTCGCCCACCTTGCCCTCGGCCTCCTCCATTATCATCTGTGCGCGCTGCTGCAGCGACACATAGCTCCTCCAAATACCCAGACGAAACTAGAGGTCTGAAAGGGGGGTAGGAAAGGGAGAGGAGGGGGTGTAAAAGGAGTGCGGGGTGCGCTGCAGCCGTCGCCCTCCTTTCCTGTGCGTGCTACTGCAGTGTATGTTTTTCCGAGAATTCTCAAAAAACATGTGCTGCAGCCGTCGCCCTCCTTCCCCCTGCGTGCTACTGCAGTGGCACTGATGGTTCTTCCATACGGCTGCAGGTCTGGAGGAGGAGTAAAGGAAAAGGTGCCCAGATGACTTGCAGCAGCATTGAGCGCATACCGCTAGAGACGTGGGAATGTGGAGAACACGACAGTCATCAGCTGAAGGCTATTGCCGGTTTAGACACTATGACTACACACCAGGAATGTCGATCGCCAGCGCCTCCAGCTCCTCATCCTCGATAAGAATCGCCTCGTTTCTGTCCACAGCCGTGCGCAGGCGTGCCAGGTCAGCATCGAGCAGCCCGTACTCCGCCACGAGGAGAGACTCGTCCTCGTCTGACCGCATGTCCTCTGGTGAAGAGGGGAGGTGCGGTGTGGGGACGAGTGGGGGTGAGTGAGGAAAAGAGACGTTGTTAACAGCAGGTGCGGCAGGTCAGCATCTAGCAGCCCGTATTCTGCCAAGAGGAGAGACTCGTTCTCGTCTGACTGCATGTCCTCTGGTGGGGAGGGATGGGGAGGGTGGGTGAGGTGAGGTGGGGGGGAGGAAAGGGAGGGGTTAACAGCAGGCACGCCAGGTCTGAATCGAGCAGCCCATATTCCGCAACCAACAAAGACTCATCCTCGTCTGACCACGTGTCCTCTGGTGGGGAGGGATGGCGGGTGGGGGGGGGGAAAGAGAGCGCGAGGGTGTGGAGGGAGTGTTTAACAGCAGGCGCGCCAGGTCAGCGTCGAGCAGCCCATACTCCGCCGCCAAGAAAGACTCGTCCTCGTCTGACCACATATCCTCTGGTGGGGAGGGATGGGGTGGTGAGGTAGAGAGGAGGGAAGCGAGGGGCTAACAACAGGCACGCCATATCAGCGTCGAGCAGCCCATACTCCGCCACCAGCAGAGACTCGTCCTCGTCTGACCGCATGTCCTCTGGTGATGGGGGAGGGAGAGGGGGGAGGATTACTGGAGGAAGGAGAGGAGGGCGAGTGAGTTTTGGAAGGGAGGAGAGAATGGGAGGAAGAAGAAACGCTTCTCTGCTCTTTGAGGGGTTCAGGTTTAGATTTGAGATGGAGTTTTGCAAATGCGCTTAGGGGTGTAAACGCTTGCAAGTGCAAATGCACTGCGTGAAAACGCTTGCGCCATCGCGCTAGACGCAATGTGCTCAACACTACGTGCAAGGGAAGGTTTTCGGGCTGACCAGCAAATAATCAATCAACATAATCATTCTGTTTCCGCGACATTTCAGAATATAATTTTCTGGGAAACAGCAGCTCCTGCACGAAGAAGGAACAAGCATACCACCTGCATCTGCAGTTGCACCTGAGAGTGCAGCTAGCCGTCTGCTTGTTTTTATAATGGCAGCTGCCTTTACTGCTGGCATCTCAGTTGGAAAACTCACGGTAGTCAGCAGCGAACAGCAGCTCCTGCTCCAGGAAACATGTAGATGACCTGCATCTGCATCTGCATCTGCAGCTGCAGCTGGGCAGGTGAATGAGCTGCATTTGAAGCTGCATCACATGCACGCACCTGCTACCTATCTGGGTGAAGACTCACGAGAGTCAGCAGCAAAGAGCAGCTCCTGCTCCAGGAACATGGAGATGACCTGCATCTGCAGCTGCAGCGTGCTGCATGCATCTGGGCAGCTAGGCATACGTCACAACATGCACCTGACAATGCAGCAGGAACCTGGAAGTAAACTCACGGGAGTCGGCAGCAAACAGCAGCTCCTGCTCCAGGAACATGTAAATGACCTGCATCTGCAGCTGCAGCGTGCGCACTGCCAGCTCCTTGCGCAGCTCGTTCACCTGCATGGTGAGAGGAGTGACACAGGAAGTGGTGTGGTGCATGGTGGGCGTTGAGAAGCATGGTGCATGGTGAACGGAGGTTATGGGTGCGGAGAAGCATGCTGCATCTGCAGCTGCAGCGTGCGTACCGCCAACTCCTTGCTCAGCTCGTTCACCTGCACGGATGGAGGGGGGAGTGGGAGAGGGATGCAACCCAAGCGATGGGAGTCATGCGCGGGATGATGTGTTCTCTTGACTCTGCCGCTGCAGCGTGCGCACCGCCAGCTCCTTGCGCAGCTCGTTCACCTGCACGGATGGAAGCATGGGCGGAGGGAGTGGTGCATGGTGGGTGTTGTGGGACGGTGGTTATGGGCGCATCTATTCGTGTTGTGCCTTGCGTCTGCACCTGCAGTGTGCGCACTGCCAGCTCCTTTCGCGGCTCGCTCACCTGCAAGGGAAGGGAAGCCATACAGGGAGTGGGTGTTGTAAGGGGGGGGAGGGGGGGGGGGGGGGTGGTTACGCTACGTGTGCATGAACATGTGATGCGCCTTGACTCTGCAGCTGCAACGTGCGCACTGCCAATTCATTCGCAGTTCATTCACCTGCATGCACGGATTGGGTGGGCGGTGTGCAGCACCGGGCATGGGATTATGGGCGGGTGTAAAGGTTAAGGATAGCACGTTGCAGCTGCAGCGTGCGTACTGCCAATTCCTTTCGCAGATCATTCACCTGCATGCACAGGGGGTTTATACAGGAAGTGGGTGTTGTAGGACGGGGGTTACGGCGTTGCGCTATGTGTGCACGGATATGTGATGTGTCTTGTGTCTTGACTCAGCAGCTGCAGCGTGCGTACTGCCAATTCCTTTCGCAGCTCGCTCACCTGCACGCACGGGGAGGTGGGCGGATGGGTAAATGGGTGGATGGTGGAAAGTGGAGTGGATGGTGGTACATGGTGCATGGTACCATCTGCCACATCCTTGCAAAATCTTATCCCTCCATACCCAATATTGGGATCATACCACGTCATGTGTACGCCAAGTCAAGAGGTGACTTTTGAGTCGACTCAAAAGTCACCCAATATTGGGATCATACCACGTCATGTGTACGCCAAGTCAAGCAGACCAGTCACGTGTGTGTGAATCACTCAATGCTTTTACCTCCCTGAGAAATCTCGCCCAAGCAACCACTTTCCTCTGCCCCAGCCCCAGCCTCAGAATACTCAGAACACAGACACTCCTAAGTCTCTGCCTAAGCACTCACCTCATCATTCAGCGCCTTGATCTCGCGTGCAAGCCTCGCCCTCACGAGCACATTTCTCTGCCACAACAGCCGCTGCTGCTCGAATGCTCATAGACAGTCTACACCTGTACAAAGAAGAGGCCTCACCTCATCATCCAGCGCCTTGATCTCGCGTGCAAGCCTCGCCCTCACGAGCACATTCCTCTGCCGCAGCCGCTGCTCCCTGCTGCGAATTGCTTCGTTCAGCCGCTTGTCCAGGGCCTCAACCTGACAGGAGGGAGTGGGGAGAGAGGAAACAGAGGAGGGAGGGGAGGGAGGGTAAGGGAAATGGAATCCCAGTTTAACAATCCGCTGCTCCCTGCCGCGAATGGCCTCATTCAGCCGCTTTTCCAGAGCCTCAACCTGACAGGAAGGAGTTGAGAAAAGGGAGAGAGAAGGGAAGAGAGAGAAGGCAGGAAAGGGGGAGTCGCACAAGAAGAGGGAGTTGGGAAAGGGAGAGTCGCCCCTTCTCGCACAAGAAGAGGGAGTTGGGAAAGGGAGAGTCGCCCCTTCTCGCACAAGAAGAGGGAGTTGGGAAAGGGAGAGTCGCCCCTTCTTGCACAAGAAGAGGGAGTTGGGAAAGGGAGAGTCGCCCCTTCTCGCACAAGAAGAGGGAGTTGGGAAAGGGAGAGTCGCCCCTTCTCGCACAAGAATAGGGAGTTGGGAAAGGGAGAGTCGCCCCTTCTCGCACAAGAAGAGGGAGTTGGGAAAGGGAGAGTCGCCCCTTCTCGCACAAGAAGAGGGAATCGGGAAAGGGAGAGTCGCCCCTTCTCGCACAAGAAGAGGGAGTTGGGAAAGGGAGAGTCGCCCCTTCTCGCACAAGAAGAGGGAGTTGGGAAAGGGAGAGTCGCCCCTTCTCGCACAACAATAGGGAGTTGGGAAAGGGAGAGTCGCCCCTTCTCGCACAACAATAGGGAGTTGGGAAAGGGAGAGTCGCCCCTTCTCGCACAAGAAGAGGGAGTTGGGAAAGGGAGAGTCGCCCCTTCTCGCACAAGAAGAGGGAGTTGGGAAAGGGAGAGTCGCCCCTTCTCGCACAAGAAGAGGGAGTTGGGAAAGGGAGAGTCGCCCCTTCTCGCACAAGAATAGGGAGTTGGGAAAGGGAGAGTCGCCCCTTCTCGCACAAGAATAGGGAGTTGGGAAAGGGAGAGTCGCCCCTTCTCGCACAAGAAGAGGGAGTTGGGAAAGGGAGAGTCACCCCTTCTCGCACAAGAAGAGGGAGTTGGGAAAGGGAGAGTCGCCCCTTCTCGCACAAGAAGAGGGAGTTGGGAAAGGGAGAGTCGCCCCTTCTCGCACAAGAAAAGGGAGTTGGGAAAGGGCGAGTCGCCCCCTTCTCGCACAAGAAGAGGGAGTTGGGAAGGGGCGAGAGGGATGAGAGGAGTGGGAAGGGGGCAAGGGACCCAGCTTAATAAGCCGCTGCTCCCTGTTGCAAATGGCCTCATTCCAGCCGCCTGACCAAGGCCTCCACTTTGGAGGGGAAAGCTGAAGGAGGGGAGAGACGCAGGGGAAGAGGAAGGAAAAGGGGGGAGAGAGAAAGAGAGAGTCAGAGCAGAGGGACGAGGGGAGGAGAAGAAGAGGGGGAACAGACACAAGGACACAGGGCGGGGCAGGGCAGATGCACGGGTGTCAGGATCTTCAACTCCGTGGTTCTTAGAGGCATATGCATGGTAACCACGTCATAATGTCAGCAGCACCTGTGGTTACCATGCGTACGCCTCTAAGAACCAACGTACCTTCAGCGGCAGCTTGAGCTTCTTCTCCTCCTCCCCGTCACCGGTTGGTTCGGGCCGAGGCAGCCAGGATGACAGGGGCTCCAGCCCTGTCTCGTACGCTAGTGTCATCTGGTTACCAGCTGGCTTCGCAGTAGCCACACTCAACTGGTAACCACATCACTGCTAACCTCCAGCAGCAGCTTGAGCTTCTTCTTCTCCTCCTTGTCTCCCGTTGAGTCAGGGCGGGGCAGCCCGGATGCCAGAGGCTCCAGCTCCGTGGTGTTTCAAGCCGTACCTGGTAGCCACATAACCATTATATCACAAATCTAGCACCTCGTACCTCCAGCAGAAGCTTGAGCTCCTTCTCCTCCTCCTTGTCGCCCGTTGCATCGAAGCGGGGAAGGCCCGACACCAGGGGCTCCAGCTCTGTGGTGCTTGGATAGGCACCTGGTGGTAACCATGTAACACATCTACCACCTCGTACCTCCAGCAGAAGCTTGAGCTTCTTCTCCTCCTCTTTATCGCCCGTTGAATCGGGTCGCGGCAGGCCAGATGCCAGGGGCTCCAGCTCCGTGGTGGGCGGGCGGCCATTCAGACGCCGCCACGTGTCCACCAGGGTGCGCACCGCCTTCCCTCCCGCCTGGAACAAGGCACACATAGGAGGGGAGAGGGGGTGAGGGGTGGGTGGGAAGGACAGGAAGACAAAGAGGAGGTTGAGGAGGCAGAAGAGAATAGAGCCACTTAACCCGGCATAGTACTAAGTGCCAGTGTGAGCCGTCAGATGACTAAGTGCTGGTGTTAAGTCGCCAGACTACTAAGTGCTGGTGTATGAAAGTCATACCAACCAGTAACCCGACGTTGTTCTGTTCCCGCTCACCCCTTTGATGGTGGGCAGGTCGATGCTGAAGTCTCCGAATGAGATGTCCACAGACGCTATCCTCTGCCCTCTGCCACTCCCATTCCAGAACGGAGCACGTGTTGGGTTCTGAAACGTTTCAAGACGTTCCAATCCTCTCACGCATTGTATGACGTCTCAAGGCTCGCTCGTCTCAAGGCTCGCTCACCCCTTTGATGGTGGGCGGGTCGATGCTGAAGTCCCCAAACGAGATGTCCACAGACCCTACGCTATCCTCTGCCGACCCTTCTCCAGAATGGCGCTCGTGCCATGTGGTGTGCCCTCTCTAGCCCTCTGAGTCCTCTCAAGGCTTCTGAGTCCTCTCAAGGCTTCTGAGACCGACTGAACATCCGCTCACCCCTTTGATGGTGGGCAGGTCGATGCTGAAGTCTCCGAATGAGATGTCCACAGACGCTATCCTCTGCCTGACACGATCCAGAATGGCACTCGTGTTGGACAGCCCGCCCAGGCGCCGCAGCACCCGCTCCTGGTGCGGCAAGGGTGAGGGGGAGAAAAGAAGAGGGGGGAAAGCGGCAGTGCAAGGGGGAAAGGTTAGTGAGGTTAGTAAGGTCTCGAAAGTCCAGAATGGCGCTCGTTTTAAACAGCCCGCCCAGGCGCCGCAGCACCCGCTCCTGGTTGGGACGGGGTGCCGGAGAGGGAAGAGGGGGAGAAGGGAAGCTGGAAAGGAAAAGGAAACGAGATGGGAGAAGTCGCCCCTTTCATCACCCCTCACCTCCAGGTTGGCCTTTCACCACCCCGCACCGCTCATCACCCATCATCTGCACGTTCGGACGTCACATTTATCACAGCTGCACTCCCCCTTACAAATTCATCTGTGAGTTCACATCTCATCCCCTCACCTGTAAATTCACCCTCTCACCACACCTCACCGTTCACCACCCCTCACCTGCACGTTGTTCGTCTCCTTATCCATCTGCTCCTGCAGAGCCTGCGCCTCCAGCTCCTGCTCCACCTCTCTGCGGCTTGCGCATCAACAAGCTGTAAGTTCACTTCCCACCACCTCTCACCCTCAAGCACCCCCTCTCACCACCCCTCATCACCACTCCTAACCTACCACGTTCAACCCCTCACCTGCTCGTTTCCTTGTCCATATGCTCCTGCAGCGCCTGCACCTCCAGCTCCTCCACCTCGCACTGACTTCCGCATAGACAAATTTGTGAATTCACACCCTCCCACCACTCCTCACCGGCAAGCACCCCCTCTCACCACCCCTCACCTGCACGTTCGCCTCCTTGTCCATCTGTTCCTGCAGTGCCTGCGCCTCCAGCTCCTCCTCCACCTCGCGCCGCTGCTCCGCGGACAGTGACGCCTCGATTCGATCCGCCAGCTCCTCGAGCCGCTGCGCGAGCGTGCGCACCACGTCCGCCACGCCCTCCGCGGCCTTAGTTTCTTCCTGTGACAATAACGGGGATGACAGAACGTGACAATGGGGGAAGGGGGAGGGGGGAATTAACTTCTCCAGCCGTTGTGAGAGTGTTGTTATAACGTCGGGAACGCCTTCAGCGTTCGTTTTGTGCTGAGAACGGGGTTGACAAGACGTTGGGACAGCGTCGTCGCAACGAAACGCAACTCCCTCAGAAGGTTTGTCAACTTTCTGGGACTAAAACGGGAGTGAATGACGAGAACGAGAAAGGACGAGACGAAAACACGAGTTTACGAAAGGAGGGCGTACGAAGCGTGGGTTGACCCACAACAGACAAAAAAAAAAACGAGTAGGGTGAATCCAAGAGCACGCAGACTCCCTTGGTGACCTACCGGGAAAACGGCGGGCAGCTGCCCGTGAAAGAAGTTTAGGTCGCGAGTCAGCGAACCGGCGAGCGCGCGGACGTCCGCAGCGCAGCCAAGCACCTCGACGGCGCTTTCCACCACTAAGATAGGCTTATCCTCCCCCTCGCCCTTCCGCTCTGCCACGCCCAGCCCGCGGCGGATCCAGTAGTTCGCTCCGCGCCGCACCTTCCGCCGCGCTTTAAGCTCCTGCGTCCCTTCCCGCTTCTTCGCTATAACGGGTATGGGCATGTTGAGCACGCGTTCGGACCGGTTCGCGTCGCGGTAAAGCCGCCGGAGAAGCATGAGGACCTCGAGCCGCTGCAGCCGTTCGTTGACTTCGGCTGCCACGTCAGCGCTGACGAGGCTATCGCGAGCCGCCTCCGCATCCGACGCGGAAACATCTGACCGAGACACGGTTTCGACTAAAGCTAGCGCACCGTTCAAGCTCTTCGAATCTGAAACGGCGACGTTACCGGCGCCGTCATTTTCGTTTTCGGCAATGTCTCCGCCAGTGGTTCGCGCATTGGCACGAACAGATCGGCTTCCTTTGCGAGTATCGGGCCAGCCATTGTCGGGTACAAACGAAACCACGAGAACGCAGGACAACGGCTCTGCTAAGACGAACGACGCGCGGTCTGGTCTCTCGGCGCTGGAACGTGCAGATACCGACGTCGAGTGTGACACTAACGAGGTGGATTTGCGTGAAAGAGAATTGGTCCGCAGCAGCACTTGCTGCGGTCCTTTCAGGAGCTTAGAGCTTCCCGTGAAAAAACCACCATGAGAGAAACTTGGCGACGCGTCCCTCGCCAGAGACACGGAACGTGTCAACGGGATCGCCATGGCAGCGGCGACTGACGACGTCGGTTTGGAAAGGCCGTTAACAACGCCGGAAAAATCGCAAAGACTGACCAGGCACTGAGCGCTCTACGATGGTGTCGAGATTCCTGGTGCCAGAGAAATGCTCAATGCACAACAGAGAAGGATCCGTTGGAAGGAAAAGATTCCTCTGCTCAGACAGCCCAGGACAGACAAGCTGGAGAGATTCTTCCACACACACACCAAGAGGGATGAAGATGCTTCTCAGTTAGACGGAAACGAGAGGGGTCAAGACGGAAGGGAACAGAGTTGACGTGATGACTGCTCTTGGCCAATCCCATCTCGCACGCCGCGGTTTTGGGCCAGGGGGCAGGGAGCAAACTTCAAGGTTTCCTTGGCTCCCCCATAGACGAATTTGCTGGTTGGGGCAGGCTGAAATGATTTGTATTGGTCGTGTATCGACGGTTCGAGAATCGGAAGTTGGAAGATTTGTGAAGCCTGGTTTGCACCAGCAGCACTCCACGCATTCCCTAGGTTCAGCAGACTTTGATTGGAAGCGCATCTGTTCTGTTAGCGAAACACGAGAGATGAGTGGTACACGCTTCGCGCTACCGTGGCAGCGACCTGGAGAAACCATGATCCAGAGCAGATGAGATCACGAATCGTTGGGCAGATTCGCCACGTGGACATAGCCAGTGACACGAGAGTCCTCCGTGGGTGTGCTTCTTGCCAGAAGCCTCAGCCCCCTGTGCTAAGCTGCCCACATCGGCTCGTTCCTGCCACACTTGAATCACGGATTCTTATGGCGGATTTTCGTTATCGCTCAAAAATACTGCGGCTAGGTGTTTGCAGTGTGCTAGAAAGGGTTTGTTCATAACAATAAGCATGGTACTATCCATTTTATCACGCAAGTCGCATACAAAGTTGGAAGCCGAGTTGGTCGAGGGGGCGGGGGGGGAGGAACTGGGTCCTTAGAGGGATCTGAGGCCTAAGGCTGGATATCTGACGACTGGCTGACTGAATGCTGGCTTCCAAGAGCTTTTTTGTATGTTTGCATGCACGAGATGATTCCTTGTTTCCTTGCCATCTTACCCCCCTCTTTGGTTTAGGTGATGGATTGCTTGCTCTGCTGCATGTTTGCTTCCCGAACAACCAGTGGACCATGTAGAGGCATTGTTCCGTAGGTGCTCTCTAGCCATGCGTTGTCCTTCCCTCCTGCCATATCTATACCTTATGTATTATCGATAAACGGCCCACTTGAGAGAGAGAGAGAGAGAGAGAGAGAGAGAGAGAGAGAGAGAGAGAGAGAGAGAGAGAGAGAGAGAGAGAGAGAGAGCAGACCGCTGACTGACCCATTGAAGAGCAGACCGCTGACTTCACCATGACAGACCGTAGCAGCGGGGCAGTCTACGTCTGTGATGTGACCATCACGGACCCTATCAGCATAAGGGACCCTGAAGCGCAGAAAGGCAGGGGGTGGTTTCAGAATCCCAACCACTAGACCATTGGGATAAAAGGGCTTGTTTCAGTAGCGGGTCAGTGCGCCCATAACCCCCCAGGCAAACGTGCCTGTAACCCTTCCTTAGGATCGATCGGGGATCACCAGTGGACCTCTGACACCCCCCCGCACTGGGATGCCCGAAGTGCATACACCGGGATTCGAACCCGAGACCTTCGCTCTGATACCATTTCAGAATCCCAACCACTAGACCATTGGGATAAAAGGGCTTGTTTCAGTAGCGGGTCAGTGCGCCCATAACCCCCCAGGCAAACGTGCCTGTAACCCTTCCTTAGGATCGATCGGGGATCACTAGTGGACTTCTGACAGGTGGGCGGCAAGGGAGCAAGCCGACAAAAAGATACAGCACTACGCTAACCGCCCAGATACGGTTAGCTTCTTCCCGCTGGCTGTGGAAACCTACGGCTGCCCTTGTGCCGAGGTACCTGTTTTTCTGAAGCTCTTAGCAGGCACGGCGGCTCGGCGCCACTTCAACGCCGACTCAAAATCCTTTCATGCCGCGAAGTTTCTGCACCAGTTCAGACAGAGATGGTCGGTGGCCCTTCAGAGGGCACAGTCTGTAGGCCTCTTACTCAAGCTCGGGGAGGCGGCGGCGGCAAAGAACCCGCCAGTAGGCGGAATTGGGAAGGAACTGAACCTGGGGGATTGTTTTGCGGTGGTCGAGCCCCTCCTGGAGCTCTAGAGGGGGTTGTGGGTAGGATCCGGTGCGTTGGTTGTTTCCTAGGCCTCTATAAACCTGCATGCTTGTACTTTGCGGCTAAATCAATACAAGGACCATTAGAGAGAGAGAGAGAGAGAGAGAGAGAGAGAGAGAGAGAGAGAGAGAGAGAGAGAGAGAGAGAGAGAGAGGGAGAGTGAGGGAGAGGGAGAGAGAGAGAGAGAGAGAGAGAGAGAGAGAGAGAGAGGGAGAGAGAGAGAAGAACCTAGCCTTTTCCCTCTGCTTAGAGCACTATACCCTCTGTCATATAAGGGCCTCTCGTGCCTTCGTTCCTTGATGATTCTGTGTGGTGCCATCAAATGGGACCTAGTCTTTGCCCTCTGCTCATTGCCCTCAACACTCTATTCCCCTAGAAATATAATGACCTATTGCACCTTCGTTCCTTCATTATTTTGTGTGGTGCCAGTATAGGTGTAGGTCGCTGAGAACTTCGACCGTGAGACACAGGACACAAGCTCGTGCGCAACATAGCAGCCTGCAAACGACTAGGGGGGACTTCATGACTCATAGGAATGCGATTGATCTCAATGATCAAGTTTATGTGACGCCCAGCTACCCCATTCTGCTGCGTCGATTCCGGGAGTGAGTACGTCTGGATGATGCCCTCTGCACGACAAAACTGGCCAAGGCGACCAAAGGCGAACTCACCACAATGGTCAGAGTGCAAACAAAGCACATGCTGGGTGCGTTGGGTGCGAACGGCAACCAGTGACGGATGGAGAACGCCCAGAATGCCGACCTTCCGCTCCAAGAGTAATACCATAGTGTAGTAGGATTAATCGTCTACAATGACCAGTGTGAAGCGCTCTTCGCACGGGCCAGGGACGGGGCCATGGCTCTTGACATCAATGTGCAACGTCTGAAGAAGTGTTGTGGTGGGAGGAAGCAAAGAGTGACGGGCGGCACGCTGCTTTCCCTCGACGCAAGGGGTGCACGGCGGCACATACGAGGGAAAGAGAGCGAGGAGCGAAGACGGAAGACCAGAGACGAGACCGTGCTTAGCCATACGACGGAGATGTTTAAGAGAGTGGTGACATGTACGATGGTACCACATGAGCGACGTATGAGTGAGCGGCCAGCAAAGCACGACGAAACTACATGACCATACCCAAGAACATGGGTGGACGAGGTATGCAGTACGAAAAGAGCTGATGCTGGGTCCCGGGGGAGCGTGGCAAAGGGAGAGCGTCCGTACAGGTCGCAAACCGCTCGTGTCCAAGAAATGTGGTGGTGTCGCCGAGGTCCTGAAGATGAACGAAGCCCTCCAAGCTCTTGGGGAACAAGGGGATGTGCTGCGTGTGAGGGAGCTAGAGGGGACTGCTGGCCATGCTAGTGTAGTAGCGCTGCAGTCCATGACCAACCAGAGGAGGGCTCGGCAAAGGAGCCTGCGATAAGAGCTGGAAGAAGCGCTAGGACACGCCGGAGTCGAGAGTGAAGGAGAGGGATGCGTTTGAAGTGGACGCACCTAGGTAGGAAACAGCGGAGGATTCTACACTATCCAAGGCAATAGAACCTATTATAGCCGCACACAAATGATGGAATCGTGCAACACCAAAGTGATCAAAATACATGGCAAACAAAGTAGGTCAAATACATGCAATCCACAACGCGACAGCGCAGGCCAGTCTGAGGGGGGCGCCATAAGCCCAGAGTGGGCGTGGAAGAGGTGGTCGACCATTGAAGCAGCGTGCAGTATAGTGATTGGTGCGCGCCCAGACGATGCCGCGCAGTGGACCATACTAAATCTGGTATTGGCGGGACCCAGTGGGGGGGGGCACGTGACACCTAGCTGTCAGACCCGCCACCGCGGCCACCGCTCCCTAAGCTATTAGTTCCCAATGCCGTCGGGAGACCCACTACGCTGGGAGACCCATTCTTGGAGCTATTACTGTTGTTGCTGTGACTATTGTTGCTGCTGCTGAGACTGCTACTTCCACTGCTGCTATTGCTGAGTCGCCGTCGCACCCCCAGGACCAACACCTCATGCACCAGCACCCCCAAAACCGGCACTCCCAGGGCCAGCACCCCCCCATGTACCAAAACCACCACATTCTCTACGACCACAAACACCGCTGCGCTGTCCCCGCCCACTAGAGTGGGTAGAGATAGTTGCGACCTCCGCTGTAGCAGTAAAGCTCAACAATAGGAGCATTGGCAACTAGGGTAGGGAACTGGGGTGGAGTGCACTTTCAAAGATTGGGGGGGCTAGCATACTAGTTGTGCATGTAATGGTGTGAAGGCGGCTCTCGT